AGCCCCAGCCTTTGGACAGCATGAAAAGGAGGACCAGGCAACAACGTGAGCAAAAGCAGTGGCTCTTGGGAATCGAGCTGATTTTCCTTTCCCAGGCCCTCCAAGGATCCTGGGCTTCCCGGGAGAGGCGGCCTTTGGAGGCTGTGTATGCGGTAGATACAGTGGCAGATGGACCATGAGCTCTTCAAGCACAGAAAGAAAGTTTAGCCCAAGCCAAGCTACTCAGGAGGCTGAGATCTGAGGATTGTGGTTCAAAGCCAGCCCAGGCATGAAAGTCCGTGAGACTCTTTATCTCCAATAAACCAATAAAAACTGGAAGTGGCGCTGTGGCCCAAGCAGTAAAAAAGCGGACAGTACCCAAGCCTAGAGTTCAAGTTCCATCATACACAAACACACACACAAACACAAAATCTCATGGGCCAGCCGCTGGTGGCTCACTCCTGTAATCTTAGCTACTCAGGATGCTGAGATCTGAGGATCGTGATTCAAAGCCAGCCGGGGAAAGGAAAGTCCTAGAGACTCTTATCTCTAATTAATCACCAGAAAACTAGAAGTGGCACTGTGGCTCCAGTGGTAGAGTGCTGGCCTTGAGCTGAAGAGCTCAGGGATAGCGCCCAGGCCCAGAGTTCAAGCCCCACGACTGACAGAAAAAAAAAAAAGTCTCAAAGACTTTTCTTGCCTGATCTGGCTTTGAAGCGTGATCTTCCATCTCAGCCTCCTGAGTAGCTAGGAATAACAGGTGCAAGCCACTGGTGCGGGGCTTTTGCATTTGCTTGTTTGCTTAGCTGGCACATTACTCTTTGAGCCACACATCCAGCCTGGCTTTTTTTTTTTTTGGCAGTCCTGGGGCTTGAACTCAAGGTCTGGCCACTGTCCCTGAGCTTGTTTTTGCTCAAGGCTAGCACTTTAGTACTGGAACCACAGCACTACTTCCAGCTTTTTGTGGTTATGTGGTACTGAGGAATGGAACCCAGGACTTCATGCATGCTACAGCCTGGCTTTTTGCTGTTTCTTTTGGATATAGGGTCTGGGAGACTTTTCTACAAGAGCTGACTTCAGATTGCAATCCTCCAGATCTGTCTCCTGAAGAGCAAGGATGACATGCATGAGCTACCTTCTTGATCTCACTTATGGCTGAGTAAATCTTCCTTCTTACCTCATAGCCTTTCCTGTCACTGTCCCTTTTGCTTGTCCCTTTCCATGATTCAGAGTTCCTCTCCTTAAGACTGTCTTCCCTGCATGTTTCTCCCAATGACATTTGTGTCCCCTGTAGATTGCTTCGGAAACAAGTTCATTTCCCTGTTTACTTGTTTGGTCTGTGCTCCTGAGGGCCGAGTCCACCTATGTCTCTGGACCTAAGTTTTCAGCCCACCAGCACTCAATAAGGTTCCAGTGATTGAGCAGGTGTTAGTTCCCTCTAGATTCTCCTGCATCCGACCTCCCACACCCATGGGTCAGTGTTTGTGGGGGGCAGTTTCGCATAATCCAGAAACTTTGGGGCCAAGAGTTCTCTGTCCTGAGTCTTGTAGTACCAAGAAGGGGAACTTTGGGTGTCCTTGGACCAGCTGGGTGCTGTTCCTCTGGAGGGAAGAAAGGTCTAGGAAGGGAGGGCTGATCAGGAATGGGAAGCAAAAGCAGAATGATGGACTCCAGTCTCAGAACTGCTACTGAGCCAAGAAGCAAAAAGGGGGAAGTTGAGGGGATACACCAAGAGGCAGGGCCTTATTCAAGGCAGCAGAGAGGGCATGACATCCTTAAGCAGAAGTTGCCAGGATCCTGTCTCCAAGATGGTGATTTTGGTGGCCACAAGTCCTTGGCTGCTATACCCACAAGCCATGGAGTGGAAGTGGATTCTATTCTTCCTGGGGGGAGGAGAGCGGTCCTGCCTACTTCTGGACCCGGAAAGAAGGCAGACATGCCTACTCTTGAAACTACCTTTGGGGAAGTCTGGCAGCTTTCCCTTGTAGGATGGAGTCCATGGATAGGGGTCTTTCTTCTTCACCTGCTCAGGACTGCTGCTTGATCACAAATGAAGGCAAAGTGTACCTATTCTGTGGCCTTGGTTCGCCCCCAAGGCCACTCAGGCTGTTGGCGGGAGCCAACGATTCCATTAAACCATTCCAGCTGGGTGCTACTCTCAGCATTGCTGGAAGTCCTATCATTTCATCGTCTAGTTTGGCCAGATGGTGCAGGGTCTGGTGGACACAGGGACAAGCCAAGCTTCCTCTATTGCTTATGAAGTTCTAGCTCTTGGAAACCAGGATACCTTTGCTTGTCCTCATGGGGTGATTCTGGATGGGCACTGATCCGTTCTGGGTCTCAGTCAACTCAGCTGTGAAGCTAGGATTGATTTTTTTTTTTTTTTTAGCTCTGATCATTGATTTTTTCTGTGGTCATTTCACACCTCCCTCATTTCAGACCCTTCTCCTGCCTTTGCATCTGAGGTTTGAACTCAGGGCCTGGGCACTGTCCAGATTTGAAAGGAAATTGAAGAGGGGAAGAGGCTGATGGCATGTACTGGTGGGGGTGAGGTGCCAGGGATCTGGCTGTTGGGAGGGGCCATGAAATGGTGGGGAGCTTAGGAATGGGCCAATGGGAGTACGAGGGACCCAGCTCTGGGCAGCATGGGTTGGAGGGGCTTAGAGTGTCTGGTGGAGGCCTTCAGAGCAGAGCAGTGATGGATATGGGCTTCTCAGGGGAAGAAGTCAGACTAGCCTTGGCTGTATGGATTCTGAGCTTCTGCGACAGGAGGGGTGTGATCTGACCAGAGTGGCCTGATTGAATCGTCCTGGGAGGATCTTCCAGGGAGGTGAAGAAGAAGCACACAGAGGACTTAGAAGCAAGGGTTGCTGTCCAAGGCTAGAAAGAAGTGGCCGATTGGTAGTTGGGGTGCGAAAACCACAGGCCTTGGCCTCGAGCTGGGAAACATGGGAAAAGCTATGCCTATTAGTGGCTTTATCCTACATAGATGGGGGACTGTGTCCTGCCCACCTCCCTAGAGCTGGCCTCCATGGGCTGACAGGTTCTCTCGGTTGCTTGGCAACTGAGAGGAGCTGTTGGCTGTTGCTAGGAGCAGGCTGGGGAGGCCAGAGGAGCGAAGCTCTCAAGCAAGCATGGGGTGGAGCAGTGGGGGAAGGGGTCTCCTGCCTCGGAGCCTGGTTTGTCCGTCTGGGTGTGGACAGACTGTGTTCTTGGCCATGTGCACCCATATTTCCAAAGCATTTCTGGGGATGTGGGACGTGGTGGAGGCTAGGCGTATAGGTGGATGTATACAACACTTCTCCGTTCCTAGGTAGCTTTGTGTGTTTTCCTCACTTTCGTTCCTTGCCCAAGGCAGAGCCTGCTTGAGCGTTGCCTTTAGGCAGGAGGAGGCCTGGGAAAACCACTGGAGAATTAAACCACGGGCTGTTCGACAAGGGAGACATTCAGATGGGGGAAGTACTTACACGGGGGAAAAGAACAGATAGCCCAGGGCCAGGAATTGGAACAAGGTGTCTGCTGAGGTTGTGAGGAGAACAAGGTAGGCTAAACTAGGTGTGCTTCACCAAGCATTGTTGGCACGCTCCCTGTCTGGCTCTCGGAACCTTCTGTTTCTTTGGGCAGGAGCTTGGTTTGGAGTCACGCAGGACATCTTCCTGATTAGTCCTTGGCAGATTTCATCTAGGTTGAGGGTTTTTTTTAACTCTTCTTGGAGAGTAAGATCAGCAAAGCGGGAATGTCCAGTCAGAATTATTGTGATTTCCACACCCTTGCCCAGCCCTGGGGTTACAGCAATTGCTCAGTGGGGACAGGCAGCTGGAGGATTAAATTTGGAACTTGAGAACACCTCCAAAGGTGAACAAGGCCCTAGAAGGGACAAGTCTGAAGATCATGGGTGGGGGTGTTGTTTCCAGAAGCCCAGTGGTAACTCCTCTTCTCCCTTCCTCCTTACCCTGTCTCTCCTTTTAGCCCTCTCCCTCCAGGGTCCTGATTATCTATTCGCAGACTAGAATCCAGGCTGACTGCCTGTAAGAGAATACCGTCCAAAATCCTTACCATTTTTAGATGACTAGAGAAGACACCTATGTAAGTGAGACAGTTAGGTAAAAGTGTACAGGTGGCTTGTGTGTGTATGTGTGTGTGTGTGTGTGCATGCAATCTACTATTTGTGTGTGTACCCGTATTGGGGCTTGAACTTGAATGCTGTCTTCTTAGCTTTTTTGCTTTGTTGTTGTTGTTGTGAAGGCTAGTGCTCTACCTCTTGAGCCACAGCTCCACTTTCAGCTTTTTTTTGGGGGGGGGAGGTTAATTGGAGATAACAGTCTCACAGACTTTCCCTGCCTGGCTTTAACCCCAAATCCTCAGCTCTCAGCTTGAGGAGCTAGGATTACAGGTGCAAGCCACCACCAGCGGGGCCTGGTGACCTGCTGCACCCCGAGAGAAAGGAGGGGGAAGATGGCCTTCAAGAAGGCCGGTGGTTCAAATCCAGTCGGTTTCCCCCAAACAACTTCGTGGGGATCCGTTTCACTTCATAGCAAGTTGATGAAGACACGCCTCCCCCCCCCCCCCCCCCAAACCTTACCCGCCAAACTCGCAGAAACTCCGAGCGGACTGCTGGGGGTGGGGCGAGAGCATCCCCGAACCACCGCGCCAGACCCGGGAGCTTCAGCACTTCAAAGCCGAAGCTCCAGGCAATTTAGCACCCCACGGAAGCCGGGCTCCGCCCGCAGCCCCCCCCCCCCCCCCCCCCGCAGAGCCCCATCCCGTACGCGGGGTCGCCGGCTCCGGCCCCGGGACTCGGCTCTGCCCCGCCTCGCCAGCCCGCGCCCAGGAGTCTGGGCCGAGCTTCACTGCTCCCTGTCGCTCCGTCCTCTTAGCCAATCAGCGGCTCTGAGTATCTTCAGGCCACGCCCCCCCAGTGAGCCCCCCGGCCCAGTCCCGAGCCTCAGTTCCCCTCAAGCTCCGCCTCCGACCCCGCCCCGCGGTCGGTGCGCGGCGGCCGGGAAGGCGCCTCCCGCAGTCTCTCGGAACTGCCGGACCCGAGAGCTCAGCCCGGTTGCCGGAGGGCCAGCGGGGAAGGAGCGGAGTGGGTCGGGCGGGGCCGAGCCGGTCGGGCGGGGGGGGCCCGTGGGCCGTGCGTGGGGGGCGGCCGGGCCGGGCCAGGCCAAGGGCCGGCGGACGGCGGCAGGATGGGCTGCACCGTGAGCGCCGAGGACAAGGCGGCGGCCGAGCGCTCCAAGATGATCGACAAGAACCTGCGGGAGGACGGCGAGAAGGCGGCCCGGGAGGTGAAGTTGTTACTGTTAGGTGAGGCCGCGCCCCGTTTCCGGGGACACCCCACCCCATCCCCGAGAGGCTTTCGGCCACACAGGACTTGGGTCTTCAAAACTCTTAGGCCTAGTTGGTTGTGATCACCCCCCCACACACACACCCTCAATCTCCCTTACCTGGGACTTGAACACCCCACGCCCAGGACCAGTTTGGCCGGGACTCCAAATGAGAATGGGAAATGCATCAATTGGTGTTTAGATCTCCGAACCTAAATCCAGACTCCAGATCTTTAACTCATCCTACCTCCCAAACCCTCAAAGCTTAGGCAGTAAGTAGTGCCCTCACACCAGCTACCCTTGTTTGACCAGCCGTCCTTCCTAACCAGCTCCCCAGAACCTGCCTGCCACCCTTTCCTGCACTTTACCCAGTTCCGTAGTAACCCCCTACCCTCAAAGCTCCACCTGTTCCCCTATTCCTATTGGGCGTAAACATCTATCCTCCTGGGGTCTCTTCCAGACCCCTCCTCACTCTCTCCTTTCCCCTTCTGTGCCCAATCCTTTACTCTGGGAACTATATCCTCTACCTGGGCCCTCTGACCTCTCATATGGGCAACTGACCGCTCTTGAGCCCTCTCCAGCTGGAATCCCTTCAGCACTTCTCTCTTCCTGGTCACCAGATCCCTTTTCAGCAGACACAAAACGTTCTGATCCTTCTCCTCTACACCCATCTTCTCCCACAGTTTGGTACTTCCCCAGATTCTGCACCCCCCTGCACCAGGTTGGTTGTGCTAGGAGAAGGTGAACCATGGGCTGGAAAGCCACCCAGACTAGTTGAGGCAGATTCTCCAAGGGTTTGGACTAATTTCACTGGTCACACTGGGAGGACTGGGGGGGGGGGGGGGAAGGGGCTCAAGTTCTCTGGGAAGTTCCACTCCTTGAAAATGTGTTTCCCAGTCTGGGCAGGTTGGGGGGGGGGAGTCTGGGAAGTAGGAAGGAATGTGGAGTTTGGGGTTCTAATCAATTTCCAAGGCCAGAAGATGGTCGCTATTGGAGGGGTGGGGGGAAAGTGGAAGTGGAGACACAAGCAGACATATTGCTGTCCCTGCAGCCGTTGGGCGGGCAGGCCTTAGGAGACGTGTTGAGCAGGGTGGCTTTCCATAGCCAAGGTCTGAAAGGCCTGGGATGGAGCCTGGAAACGTCTGTGGGTGGGCCTGGTTGGGATCTTGGAGGAGCCCTGTGGAAAGGGGGAGAGGAGGGGGTATTAAGCTGAATGTGAGGGGGGGGTGAGCTGGGGGTTGACCACTGTGTGTTAGAGCATCCAAGCTGGCCTTGTGCAAAGTCGATGGGCCTGGTGTGGCTGTATTCAATCCATCCATCCATCCATCCCTTCCGCCAAGAGCTGTGGAAGGCCGAGTTTGGGGAGGGGGTGTCTTCGGGTTGGGGGGGGGTGGGGAAGATGGTAGGGAGGTCCTAGCCAGCAACGCAGTAGCAGTGTTGTAGGCTGGATAGTTTGTGTGTGGGGGTGTGGCCCCCTCAGCCCCAGAGCTGCATTCAGTCCTCCAGGCTGGGAGAAGGGGGTGGGGGGGGGGGCTTTTATGCTGGGCCTGCAGCGGAGGAACAGCTTGTCTGGCCCCTTCTGGGGCCCATCTGTTGACTGTCCCAGAGGGTTGGGCCTGGGGGGGGGGGGGGCACAGCCCCGGGAGGAGGTTTCAAAATGGCATCCGCGCTACTGCAGCCGCGGGGAGGAAGAGAAGGGGCGGGAAGGGGCGGCGGCCCAGCCTCCCTGGGCTGCTCTGCGTTGGGCGCTTGCCTCTTCCTGTCTCTGCTGCAGGCAGTGAGTGGGTGTCGACGCGGCGGAATGCCCGTCGCTGCTGGGCCTGGGGAGGGCACTTCCGGGATCGCTGCCACCCAGTGCCCAGCCTGGACGCCACTCTTGCCAGCCCCTGCCCAGGCTGGTCGCAGTTCTAGGAGGAGGTAGGGAACTGGACCAGCAAGCCGTGGGACACAAGTACTTCTAACCTACACCCAAAACAGAGCTACCCCCCCCCCTATTCACACTCCCCCCATCTCCACAGGCTTGCTTGCTGCTAGGAGCCTTGCTCAATCTTGGGGTGGCCAGGCCAGGTGATCGGGATCTGGCTCAGCATTTTCTAGGCCTAAGGAGCCTGTCCGAGCAGTCCTGACTCGGTGGGCTTTGCTTCTTCCTCTGTGAAACAGACTTCCTGGGTTGGGCCAGAGGAGTACCCAGGGTTAAGAATGGGGCAAACAGGAACTTCATAGCGGTTCTCTTTGGGGGTGTTTTTTTGGGGGGAGGTGGTAGGGAATTAGACCCTAAGGAGGTGTGCTGCAAGGGACTATACATTCTTAAGTTCTGCCTGAAATGGATGGTCCAGTCTGCAGGGACCAGTCTGTCCTGGTTGCCCAGGAAGGTTGCCTCTCCAGCTTGAGCCATCCCTTCCTCATCCAGGAATGAGGTGGCGATGGAAGGCCAGCTGTGGCAGGTTCAGAATTCTCACATAGCGGGAGACTCTGTCCAAGCAACGGGACTCTGGCTGGGCAGGTGCCAACCTTCCCTCCCAGCCAGAACCACGCCTGCTGCCCTGCCCGCACACCGGCTCCCTCCCCTCGCCAGCAGGCACAGTTGCTGTCACCAGGGCAGAGGCAGATGTGGTACAGCCTGGCAGCTTGATGACTAGAGCAGAGGAGGTGATAACCTGTCTCAATCCTGGGGTATACCTCACCCTTCCATAGGTGAGCCTAACTGACCATGGAGGCCCAGTTGGAATTAGAAGGCCCTGGTAGACAACCTCACAGAGAAAAGAAAAATTACTTCATGGCTCTGTGAAGGTGGTAGAGTTATGGGTACATCAGTTCTGTCGTCGCCCTGGGAGTTTACATCTCTCTCTCTCTTTTTTTGTTGCTAGTCCCGAGGCTTGAACTCAGGGCCTGGGCATTGTCCCTGAGCTTCTTTTGCTCAAAGATAGCAAAGATAGCATTCTGCCACTTGAGCCACAGCTCCACTTCTGGCTTTTATTGAGGAATCGAACCCAGGGCTTCATGCATGTTAGGCAAGCACTCTACCACTAAGCCACATTCCCAGTCCATGCATCTTTTCTTTCATTGTTCTTTAATATTCAGCTTGGGGATCTCCTAACATTCTTCCTTGAGTTCCAACTAGCCTATCCTCTGGTTGCCAGTACTACTGATCTACCCCCCCTCCCCTCCAACTTCAGATCATTGGCCTGGCCTTTCTCCCCAGAGAGTTGTGTGTCTCTTTCATTTCTGAGCCAGCACAGAGCCTGGCCTCTGTTGGGTGCTTTTCCTCTGCTTGGTGAATGAAGGACATATCTATCAAATTTCTTACATAGAGATCATTAAGCCACAGTTCAGCAGATGGCAGGAGCTCAGTGTTAGGGACAAGGACCAGTACTAGAGGGACCCAGAGAGAAAAGTTCTTCAGGTTGGACACCTGAGAGGCAACACTTCTTACCCATTGCATACAGAATTCTTGCTGCAGCCTGGCACAACAGTGTGGGTGGGAACCATGAAATTATTGAACATACTCATGAGCAGGACATAGCCTCCAGGGAGAGATAATGTAATTTGGGGACTATTACTGCAGAGAGATGGGAGGTCTAGCCTGGAATCCTGGTTGGCTGGGCACTGGGGGGGATTCTAGTTAGAGCTATGAAGGGAGGTTTCTGTGTGTGTGTGTGTGTGTGTGTGTGTGTGTGTGTGTGTGTGTGTGTGTGTGTGTGTGTGTGTGTGTGTGTGTAATTCTGCAGGGCCAAGACTGAGCACTGAGGCAAAAGAACTTACTCAGCAAATACAGGAGATCTGTACACCCCAATCCTAAGACCCCCCCCCCCCAGTAGATGTTTCCTGGCTTCAGGAAGGAGGTCCACCCTTCCTTGTACCTTGGGGTTCCACAGATCTAAGTTAGAAGCCTCTTTGGAGTCCTTTCTCTCCCCATTTTCGGGGTCTGAGGTACCAGTCTGTCACAACAGGTTTGTAATGGTGGCAGTAATGGTGAGTAAACTTTCTGCTGACTTCTTGCAGGACTGAGGGTGTGGTGGGATGGGGGTCTCCCCATCCTACAGAGTGTCTGGCTGCATTCAGTAACCCCCTCTCTTACCCTTGGGCAGCTACAGCCAGGGAGGACTGAGGTGTACCGAGCTGGTGCAAGGTGGGGTGACAGACTCCAAGGCAGGCCTCAATCCCCCCCTACCCCCCCCCCCCACCTCAGCCCTCTCTTCCCTGCTGGAGCTCATTAACACTTGAATGGGGGGCAGGGTGGCTGGGGCCTCCGAGGCTCTTCCCACCCCTCCCCCAATCTGGGCGAGGCTTTGTTTGTCGGAGTGGTCTGGGGTAAAGCTCCCATGCTAGAGAGAATGGGTGGGGGAACCCCTCTGTCTTGTCTCTGCCCAGTCCTGGCAGGCTCAGCCTCTAACCCACCACCATTCGAGGGCTGGCATAGCAGACATGAGAAGAGGTACCTTGGGTGAGGATGGGAGTGAGACTTGAGACTAGGTTTCTTCAAGGGATACTCCTGGCCTAGGGGAACACTCAGCTGGGAGTCCCTGGTGGGAGTGGGGAACTCCGGAAGGAGGGAATGAGCCGCTGCTAAGGGACTGGAGTTCGAAGTCAAGCCAGCTCAGGGGCACAGGCCCAGGGGGGCTGGACCCCATCAGGAACCCCTTTGGGCACGGTTGTGTTGGCAGTGGGCTGGCCCGAGTGGCAGGATGAACATTTATTGGCCCACTAAGTGTCAGGTTCCATCCTATCCCAGTGAAATCCTTAGCCATGGTGGCATTTGGCTGTCACTTGCCCTCCTTGATCTAATCTTAGACCCTGTGTGTGTGTGTGTGTGCGTGCGCGCGCGCGTGCCCGTGCCCCCAGGATTGGGGCTTGAACTCAGGGCCTAAGTGTACTGTCACTATATCATTGAGCCACACTTCCAAGCTTTACTTGGTGGTTAATTGGGAGAGCAGAGTCTCACGGACTTTTCTGCCTGGATTCAAACACTGATCTTCAGAT